TTATACATATATTCTGAACACAAAAAGGATCATGAATATTTTGGGAGGCCTGTTTTGGTAGTGAAGACCATGCACACAATTAAAAAAATCTATCCCATGAAACATTCATGATCCCAACATTTTTCTAGTCGGTATATCTGATTAATCATCATTTCTGGCACAGTGCACGCTGATGAATTTTCCCAAGTAGAAGCAAAGAGAAAAATGTGGATAGTATGGCTGATAAATAAAAGAAAAACAGCAACAATCTATGCCTGAAAGCACTTATTTTATAGAAATAGAACACTGTATAGAAAATGGTATGAGCAAATTTGAGGTGCCATGAGGACAGTAGCATGACATCATCATCATCATCATCATCATGGCTGCTGGTGACATCTTGTGTCAACAATAATGTCATAACAACAACAACAACGGTAAAGAAGTAAACTTAAAAATGCTTCATTTCATTTCTCTGAACCAAAGTATGTTTACCCTTGAGGTCAATAACAAAGTTTTTTTTAAATTAAACCTTTGCAACATTTTGTAAAAATAAATGTCATATTCGTCACAAAATCATAAAGATTTGATTATCAATACTAAATCATAACAGATGATTTGATTGATTATCAATACTAAATCATAACAGATGATTTGATAGATTATTTATATTAAATCATAACAGATAATTTGATTGATTATTTATACTAAATCATAACAGATAATTTGATTGATTATCAATACTAAATCATAACAGATGATTTGATAGATTATTTATATTAAATCATAACAGATAATTTGATTGATTATTTATACTAAATCATAAAAAAATGATTTGACTGATTATTTATATTTAATCATAATAGATGATTTGATTGACATATCTGAGTATTGTTGTGAACTATGGCACTCAATTAGAATGTTTCAAATGTAAAAAAAACCTTGACAAAACAACTGACACAAAAACAGACTAAATTCATAGGAATATATCCATTCAAAAGAATGGCATATATCATTGACGTCTGTCAAGAACTCATACAGTTCATCAAATAATTAGGGGTGATTTTGATGCACATTGCAAAGAAACAACAGGTATATAGACATGCAGCGTTTGATTTGATTAGATCTTTAGCATCCTAAATTTAATCAAAACCATGGGTGAGTATGGTTTTATGTGACCTTTTGCAATATTCTACCAATATCATGGTGGGGACACCAGAAATATGCTTCACACATTGAACCCACATAGAGAATTGAATTTTGGCATGACAAGGGCATGCTCTAACCACTAGCTAGGGTACCCCACCCAAAGAAGTTCTTGTATGAAGCAAGAAGCAATCTATAGGAAACAGATACTGTTCACTGAGAAGTAAAGCTTCCTTGACAGTTAGGTGAAAAGAGGGAAGGTTGATTAGCGACAACAATTGGAAACACCTGAAATAATTTCAGAGTAACGTCTTCGGAAAGTTCAAAACATGTCACACACGGCCCTATGAAAATACAGAGACCATGGTTACAGAAATATACACAAGTTGAATATTCCCGATCAAAACAAAAGCACAAATTGCTAAGCTGCGTCAATCTCATCAGGTGCTTTCCACATTCCCTTGTCCTTCATCATGGCCTTTGTTCCACCTTCACTTCTACAACTACAACTGGCATCTGTGCAACAGCCTTGAAACTGACATCTTTACATGATATTTTAGCTGTATGAATCAGTGTTGCGGTTCGACGATGGTTCTAGTGATGAATGTATGGCAGATAAAACAATACTCATTCAATACACTCTCATAATGCAGGCAGGGCAATTATATGTTGTAATTTTACATAATAAAAATTAACAAGCATAATTAAAGCATGTGGTAAATCATTTAAGAACGAAACAGAATGCACATCAAGAATGTCATATTTTCTCAAATTTTGTGTATGGTTACAAATGAACAGGAATAAACTCCTTTTTTAAACCTCCATGTTATAAACACTGGAGTTTTTATCCCCTAATTCTATGTAACAGAAAATTGTTTACCAATGACTGACTGACTGAGTTTGGTTTTACGCCGCTTTTAGCAATATTCCAGCAACATCACGGCGGGGGGACACCAGAAATGGGCTTCACATATTGTACCCATGTGGGGATTCGAACCCGGGTCTTCAGCGTGACGAGCCAACGCTTTTAACCACTAGGCTACCCCACCGCCCCATTTACCAATGACAAGTGTAATGAATGGTCAGGATGATGCTGAATGACTTCTGTGCCAAGTTGGTCCAAATGATGGAAATTTCTTAAACACTACCTCAATCTTCACAGGTATGACCACATCCTTTTCATATTGTTTAAATGACTTCACCAACAGAATTATGAAAGAATGTCATGCCATATTTCCTGGGCCACCATGAAGACGATGAAACACAGAACAACCTGGTAGAGATGTGCACACATAAACAAACACATGCTTTCTACAATCATGCACTACACACGATCATTAACTAAACACCCATTAATATATCATGCAAAATGCCAAACAGAATAGCGACAGAAGCAAAACTGACCTTACATGTTGTGACTATATATTTCACATTTTGTGCAACTAACATCTCACACATGGTTTCAGAGGCTGAATGGAAACATCAAAGGGAGCTATCGACATGGTCACTGATCAATGTCATCATCTCAACAAAGAAATCAAACCTTACCTAGATATATATGTACACATGGGAGAGTAGGTCTACAGTTACAAATAATGGTACAATGTACACAATCACGATAAAACTCCAAAATGCCAGGAAATGTGATGCCAAGGAAATTGAATAACTGATCATTACCATGTATCCCAACATAAATGAATGGCTTTGATTTTATGCTACTTTTAACAATATTTCAGAGCAGGCAACACAAAGATTTGAAATGTGGGGCCGTAAACATCAGGGTCCACCCAACTACATCCTTCCATTGCGACTAGGTAAACAGATGAAGCAGTCATACCCCATTTCCCTATGATAGATTTCAACATCTTTACATAAATGATTGACTTTGATGTTATGCTGCTTTTAACAATATTTCGCAGCAGGCGACACAAAGATTTGAAAATATGGTGTTCTAATTGACAAAGAGGTCTGTAAACATCTTCATCTACCCGACTGCATCCATCCCACACCACCAGACAAACTGATGCAGCAGACATACCCCATTTCACTGATAGATTTCAAGGTCTTTACGTAAATGATTTCAAATGATTTTATGCTTTTAACAATATTTTAACAAATATGGTGTTCAGATTAACAAACGGGGCTTTAAACACCAGAATCCACCAAGTTGCACCCCTAAATCTTCACCAGACAAACTGACGTAGCATCTATCCCATTTCACTGTGATAGATTTCAATGTGGGACTCTTAGCACTAAAGTGAGAGAAAACATGAATTTACACATCCTGGACAAGGTTTCAACATAAATCAAAATCTCAGCTATCGAATCACATCATACTGCACCTGGAACCATGGTCCTCTCTGTCATAAGATTACAATTAAACAGGATTCAGACCTCGAAGCATGAAACATCTTGACATAACTGGCAGTCTATAGATATCACAAGTATTTTAACACAACACATGATATATTATGTAAACCATTATAAACATACAAATGAATGGACACAATATCAGTTATTTCCATGCATACCATAAGAGTATTTCGAGTGTGACCGATTGGAGAACTAAAACCACAGTACCATATTTCAACCTAATCATTATTTATTATAATTCTGTTGAAAAAATGAATAGACGTACACACTGAGACAAAAACAAACTCAGGTCTTTTGATGAATGAACTAGTTACATGTTTAAGTGTGACAAATATTCTTGACAAATAAATAAGATGATCAATACGTTATTATTTACATTTATAGGTTTAAAGTGTGTTTAAGATAATATTTTAAATTAACAAAATGGACATGGGATGAAAATATCATGACTGGGGCGCTGGCTACTGATAAACACAGAAGAAGGATTCGTTGTCACTGGTCATGTACAGTATTTAGTGTGAATACGCACTACCACCTCACAGTTGCATATAAAGTACTTGCATTTTGATTTCAGTGACGTACAACCCTCATTATATACATTTCCCACAGGAATGGATTGTAACACATAGATACAAAGACACAGGACTATGGAGGAACTGAACACTGCAATCGGCATGTTCTCAAGAGTAATATCACAAATGTGAATTTACCATCAAAATTTCAAGAGAAAAAGAAGAAATTTAAACAACAGGTTAAGGCCAGACCAATTTTATTTCTTGTTTTACGGATTTTTAGTCCTCAGAAAACCTAAAGGCAGGAAGGGAAAAAAATAAAAATAAAATCACCACTCAAAGTAATATTCCTTCTAAATACTCAAAGTATGTTACCTTTGGCAATTTATGAAGTGTATATGGGGCAAAAAACAATCTAAAAACAAAATTTCTTGTATGTTTACAATTCTGGGCAATAAAAACATTAGGATTTTATTTTTTGAGCGGGGAAAATTAATTTATATTTTTTTCGGATTCTTGAAAAAATACGACAGGCGGATCCATAAAACAAGAAATTAAATTGGTCATGCCTAAAGAATAAAAAATTACAAGTTTAAGGCTTGTAAAGCTTCTCTATGTTTGAACAGAAAATCTGAACACCCAATATTACCTCTGAATGCCACTGATGTCAATCAGATAACAACAATGCATCAGTCAAACAGTTAACTTTCAAGCAAAATTTAAATGATTAAGTTTTTTAAAGATAGATATGTTATATTATCCGAAACAAACCTAAAGTAATGTGTATTGTCCTCGGCACTATTTTCATGTTATCAGGGATACAAGGCGTTATTCCTACCCTTGAACATACAACAATGACCACAACAATGAAGAAAGTATTTAGAAAGGTATCCTTGGTTTACTCTCTCTGACATTACAAAACTCAAGCTGGCACTTGGTCCTTGAATCCTGACTGGCAGGAGGACAAAGAATACTGTGTTTGAATTTAAGGAAAAAAGAATTGCAAAAAGAATTTCATTTTAGAACAAAATAGCTTTCTTACCAAGTTGCCAGCCAGACGCGCTCAGCTTGAAGTCCTTGAAAATCCCTGCCTACTGAAAGCCTAGCTTGTCAAAAGGATCTTCACTTACATCAATTAATGAGATAATAAAGAACATGACGAACAACTGCCAGTCAAAAAGAAAGAAATGCATGACAAATGTGTTAGTTATGTGTTGAGTATATCTTTAGGCTTCATCTTGTATATCAGTGACAGAGACTGAATTTTTTCAGGGTTATACTTTCATTTCAGTGACGTTGAAAATCAAAATGAATTCTCCATGTCTGTATAATTCTCTTTCTTTCTGATTCTGTCGCAAGTTTCAGATCTCACCTAAAAACCTATCTCTTCAAGAGCACCTATTACATTGTACTAACTTTTCAAACCCACAATGTACTTTTGCTGTAAAGTACCCTCTAATTTTTATTATAGCGCCATAAGCATGCACACGTGCATTAGAAATGTCCATTATTATTATTATTATTACATATAACCTTGACTTTCAGGCTACAGTGTTGCAGCTATTAATGGTGGATATACCCCTCTCCCTGAGAAGATGAAAGTTGACAGATGGCTGACACTATTGATGGCTATATACAGCAGGAAAATCCTCGTCTCGAGTTCGTCACCTCTTGTCCTTCCAAGGGAATATTTCATTGACAATAAACTGCTGATTCTTGGATGCAGGGTCACATGGCTGTAAATGTAGCCTCTCATCTTTGCCGATCTCCACACATTTGCTGACCAGGATATTTTTAATGGCATAAGAGTTCTGAAAGGAGAAGGTGATCAACTGTCAACAGTACAGTGGTTGTGATCCAGTTTGGTTTGGTTGGTTTGTTGTTTAACGCCACACTCAGCAATATTCCAGCTATATAACAGAGGTCTGCAAATGATCCAGTGATCAACAGCATGAGCATCGATCTATGTAATTGGGATACAATGACATGTGTGAAGCAATTCAGCAAGCCTGACCACCCCATCCTGTTAGTCAGCTCTTACGACAGCATGGCTGCTGAAGACCAAATCCTCTCGGGTGTTATCAAGATCCAGTTGGGATCTTTTAGCACTACTCCAGCAATATCAGGAGGTAGCAGAAATGGGCATCACACATTACACCCATGGGGAAATGAACTCAGGTGTTTGGTGCGACGAGAAGACGCTTTTACCCCACATGCCATCAAAAGTACAGAAAACTAGTATGAATCAACTTTATCCTACAGCATGTCACAGTACCATTCCATAAACTGATAATATCGCTTAGGTGATCATAACTCCTGGGCCTAGATTTTCGAAGCTCTCTTAGCGCTAAGATAGTCGTAAGTTAATGTTAATGTATGGCACTTACGACTATCTTAGCGCTAAGAGAGCTTTGAAAATCTAGGCCCTGAACTTTAACATAAGCTTAAGATGATCATAGCGCTAAGATCGCTTTGTGTATTTAACACACAGTCATATGAAAAAAATGAGCATTCTTTAACTTCTCATACATGATGTGACAACTCTATTGAAACATTTTATGACTTGGTTGAGTATTGTTTCATTATCTATAAGAAGCAGTTCTCCAATGCTGATGCTCCCCATAACAGTGGCCTACCTCGTCATAGTCCCATGGTCCGGTAGGCTGTACATCACAGTAATGAATGTGGAGAGTGTCACCATTTGGAGACTCGATACATCGCTCTCCATACCCAATCTGACCCTTGGTATTAAGGCGATACAGCTGGGAAAAACAGGCAAAAAGATTAGCTATACGAATGAAATTGATAGAGTCATGGATGCAGACACCTTAAACTATCAAAATAAGAGATTGCCGATCTTGAGCAAATTCACAGGCACTAAAATATACTTTGGTTCCAACAATGCAATTCAGTAATGTTGAAATCCTACACAGTCAATACACAATATGAGTACACACGTACATACTGGTATTTTAGGATAGACTGTGTTGAAATATTTGTCCAATTCAACAGCAAGCTTACTGAACAAGTTAAATTTGTTGTCAGAAATCAAGTGGCAGTAAGCACACTTCATTCAAATGTTGATGAAACTGAACTTTTCAATTATCAGCAATTATATCCTCCCTTTTCATTGCTGTTTGTTTCATACCATATGAAACTCACAACACCATAGGTTATCACAGCCTTTCATACTTCCTTGCACCCACAACATCTGAATTATCTGGAGAGGCATGAGTGTTCCTACCTGGTTTCCGCCCCCGTGATGACAGTAGTACACCCCAATGGGACCTCCATTCACACCCTGGCCCACAGTGTCCCAGCATCGGTTCCCTTGCTTCTCCTTGAACTGTAAAGCAAGGATCACATGTTATAGGACAAATGTACACAAGAGTCATAGGACTTGCTTCTCCTTGAACTGTAAAGCAAGGATCACATGTTATAGGACAAATGTACACAAGAGTCATAGGACTTGCTTCTCCTTGAACTGTAAAGCAAGGATCACATGTTATAGGACAAATGTACACAAGAGTCATAGGACTTGCTTCTTGAACTGAACAGGAAGGATTAAATGTTATAGTATCAGAATATACATCACTTATAAAAGGCCTTCTTTCTTCTTGAACTGCACAGAAGGATTAAATGTTAAAGGCCTTGCTTGTCCATCAACTGTACAAGAAGCAGTGCATGTTATAGGACTACAGTACACATCAGTTGCAGAAAGCCTTGCTTCTCCTTGAACTCTACCAGATTAGATGCTATAGGAGTACTGTATACATCACTTATTAAAGGCCCTGCTTCTTCTTGAACTGAACTGAAACAATGACAGGATTAAAATAACATTAGATTAGGTTAGGTTAGCAACACTAATAGAATATCACAGATGTAACCATGGTAATTGTGCCCATGTGGGGAATCGAACCCTTCTAATTTTAAGGTTGTCAACCTACCTCTGTAACCAATGACAGGCTATTTTAATTTTAATGTCAACCTACCTCTCCCCAGGCTTTGTTTGGTGGCGGTGGAGGGAACCGGTCATACACCTCATATGCCACATTGTCCATGAACCACTTGAAGCTCTTACACTTCTTCTCCTTCTTGAACTCCAGCTGCTTGGTGAGGTCACCCACCGGATAGCCACGGATGGTGGGCTCGCGCGTGTAGAAGTACTCTCGGAACTCAGGGTCCAGCCATACCTCCACCACTCGCATGTAGTTCTGTGGGTGGGAACCAACAGTTATTTGTTAGCAGCATTTAGAGGCTCACAATAAGGTGATTTGAAACTAAAAATATCTGTCAGGCTTACAAGCTTTACGTCACTCATTAAAATATGAGAGAGAGAATGCTGGTTTTATACATGTATTACTAAAAAATATTTCACATTCATCTTGGCAGACTGAAAATAATAGTGTTGGTTGGTTTGTTGTTTAATGCCACACTCAGCAATATTCCAGCTATATGGCACAGTCTGTAAATTATCAAGTCCAGACAATCCAGTGATCAACAGCATGATTTACGCAGTTGGGATATGATGACATGCTTCAACCAAGTCAGCAAGTCAAGTCACCGGATCCTGTTAGTTCCCTCTTACAACAAGCAAGGAAGACCAATTCTGGTCCGGACCTTTAAGGGTGATAATAATTGTGAACCAGACAAACCAATGAATGATATTACGAAGCAACACAAGAGACAAACGTATGCTGATGAAGTCCCATTCCAACCAAGAATTCCCACAGGTTGTTAACATAGAGTCTGGCTGGGCAGACCACTTGTGAGATGCTGGTCTACAGTCAGTAGTCAATGGTCAGCTGTTTCACACACAACATCACCACTCACCTGTGAAGATCCGGGTTAGAATTGATCTTCAGTAACCCATGCTTGTCGTTAGAGGCGACTAACGGGATCGGGTGGTCAGGCTCGCTGACTTGGTTGACACATGTGATCGTATCCCAATTGCATAGATCGATGCTCATGCTGTTGATCACTGGATTGTTTGGTCCAGGCTCGATTATTGACAGATGGCTGCCATATAGTCGGAATATTGCTGAGTGCGGCGTAAAACTATCCTCACTCACTCACTCATCACCACTCCAGTACTGGAGCTCTATCCAGTCTGATTTCCCCAATGGGGCACTCACAACTGACCTAAAACATAACTGATTTCAGTCACCCAAACCAATCACATTTCACTGTGAGTTAGATATTGCTTGACCAACATAAATATTGGACATTTTCAGCATACCACATACTTACCAAGTTGATAACAGGTATCTTGTGACTGATCTTGCCAAATGAGTAAGGCATATGGTTTCTGTAGACATGTCCCACTCTAGCGCATGGCACCCACTCTATGGAGCCTCCACACTGCCAAATCTGGGAAAACAGGAACGTAAAAATCAATGAATCTCAAGCTTCCGCTCACATAGGAAATAACAGCCATCAACAAGGGAGATAACTCTAACAGCCTTCCACACAACACATCTGTTGGTTTCAGCTCTCAAAACTTCAGCCATAAAAGGCAAGAATTTATGGATGTCAATTGTGAGGAACTTCCTGAGTATAAGATGAACTCAAAATCACCATGAAGGAGTAAAAATATACCATGTTCTTAATGAAGTATATTCATAAATTCTCAACTTTTACAACTTTAATGAACTAAAATCAGCAGCCCTTTGAGTACAATATGTCCATAGTTTACTGTAATGCTATATCTATGTCAAGAACATGTTCAGAAAAAACTATGAAAGTTATTTGTCAGCTAATCACAAAGTGTACCTTGAAGGAAAGTTCAAAGTTCTCTCCTCCCCAGATCTGCATACCAGGGTCATATGCTCCAATTTCAAAGAAGTACTTCCTGTCCATGGCAAACAGGCCTCCAGCATGGGTCGGGGATCTGCACAGAAGATCACCGAGGTCATGACACAGGATCATACTAGGGTACAGAGCTGTACTGACATACCACACACAGGATCATACTAGGGTACAGAGCTGTACCGACTTATACCACACACAGGATCATACTAGGGTACAGAGCTGTACTGACTTATACCACACACAGGGTCATACTTGGGTACAGAGCTATACGTCTGTATTGACTTACAGCATACACAGGATCATACTTGGGTACAGAACTAGAAGTCTGTACTGACTTATACCACACACAGGGTCATACTTGGGTACAGAGCTATACATCTGTATTGACTTACAGCACACACAGGATCATACTAGGGTACAGAGCTGTACTGACTTATACCACACACAGGATCATACTTGGGTACAGAGCTATACGTCTGTACTGACTTACAGCATACACAGGCTCATACTTGGGTAAAGTAGTCTGTACTGACTTATACCACACACAGGCTCATACTTGGGTACAGAGCTATACGTCTGTACTGACTTACAGCACACACAGGCTCATACTTGGGTACAGAGCTGTACTGACTTATACCACACACAGGCTCATACTTAGGTACAGAGCTATAAGTCTGTACTGACTTACAGCACACACAGGCTCATACTTAGGTACAGAGCTATACGTCTGTACTGACTTACAGCACACACAGGGGCTCATACTTGGGTACAGAGCTGTAACAGGCTTTACTTGGGTGGTGGTGGTGGTGGACTTTACAGCACCCACATAGTCATACTTGGGTATAGAGCTAAAAAAGCCTATACTGACTTGTAGGGTTCACTGTTGTATGCCCTTGTGCCCAGCTCCTTCTGGGGCACCTGGCTCTCCTTGTACAGGAACACTTTACTGACTTACCCACTCATACTTGAAGATACCTACTGATGATGGTTGGTGGTGTAGACAGGGTGGTAACGGAAGTTGTTCCAGTCAATTCCATCCACTATTGGCACTGCCATCACAGTTCTAGCAATAGAATCACCAATGAAATTAGAAAAGAAATGATTCACAATGATTTGAGTCTGACACAAATCATTTAGAATGTAACAATATATCAGAATATTGACATAATGCAATTGTTTACTCTTCGTTTATTCTTAATCAATAGGAATTAGAAAATGGTGATGACATTGATGATCGTATGCAGGGCAATTGATAGTATTGGTAGCTGCAGTTAATCATGAATAAAACACAAAGGATGCTTAAACTCAGTTTATACAGTCAAGTTTAAAACCTGCTTTGTGTTGACTACCTAGCATAATGGCAATGTACGATTAGAGTTACTTCCCTTTATGTTTAGAGCTACATGAAGGAAATGGCTGACTCTGACATTGTCAGTAATATTTTATTTATATCTGTTAAAAAGACTAATACAATTATCAGTTCATGTAGTTTTATTAATACTATCGCAATACTATTGCAATAGTTGACAACTATCTCAGTACTACAGTGTGAGGCATGATTGTAATACTATTGCAAAGAATCACAAAAATTAATAACCACCCATGAAATGGAGTGAATGAGTTGGGTTTTCACCGCTTTGAGCAAAATTCCAGCAATATCACAGCTGGGGACACCAGAAATGGGCTTCACACATTGTACCCATGTGGGGAATCGAACACGGGCCTTCGGCGTGACAAGCAAATGCCTTAACCACTAGGCTACCCCCCCACACACACCCACACCCATGAAATGAAAAATGATTTAACAGGATGAAGTAACAACAGTCATCACAAGATGACATATCCCCCTGGCCCCTACATTTTGAAAGAACAAATCATCTGACAGTTACTCAAAGTTCTGCTTGATTTTTTTTAGACTAAGTCCAAATCGTTTCCATGGAAATCATGAAAAATATAAATGCCAAAAGTCTGTAAATAGCTAAAGGCACCACTTCAAGATCTGCCTCAATAATCTGCCAAGTTCTGTTGAAAGATACTGAACGTTTTTTGAGTTGTGCTCCGGAAACGAGGCCCACCCCTCACTTTTGAGACTAAGTCCGAATCGTTTCCATGGAAACCGAGAAAATAATAAATCACAAATAATCTGTAAATAGCAAAAGGCACCACCTTAGGTTCTGTTTGATATATCTACCAATTTTTGTTGGAAAATATTGAACATTGTTTGAGTTATGCTCCGGAAACAAAATGATTACAAACGGACGGATGGACGAGGCATCAACTATATCCCCCCACATTACATGCCAGGGTATAAAAGGTACCCAACACGTCATCATATTCATTATGACATGAACGAACTGGAAAAAGAGTCTTTGCTCACATCCTGATCCGATTTGACAATATACCAAACTTGTCAGTATTTGCCATTAACACAAAACCTATCAATGATTCAGTCAGGCTATATGTAAGCAGGTTGAGTGAAGGAGGTAGTTGGGTTCTCAATGTTATTTCTTGTCTTGTATGTTTACTACTTTGATAAAACCTATATCATCTTTATACTGGATCGGGATGTAAAACACATCGCACCTGTATCATTGGGATACGACACCAGTGAAGATCCAGGTTAGAATTGGTCTTCAGTACCCCATGCTTGTCATAAAAGGCGACTAACAAGATCAGGTGGTCAGAACCGCTGACTTGGTTGACACATGTCATTGCATCCTAAATGCATAGATCAATGTTCATGCTGTTGATCACTGGATTGTCTGGTCCACACTCTATTATTTACACACCGCCACCATATAGCTGGAATATTGCTGAGTGTGGTGTAAAACAACAAACCAACCAACCATTGGGATACGTATCGTATCCTCCCCACATCGTTACACCACCAACATGTATCAGCCGTCCATACATCTGATATCATGAAGATACTGACCTGTCATGCCTGATACGTGTCAGCAGAGGAACCAGCCAGTTTCTGTTACATTCACAATGGGCATCCAGGAACAGAATGACATCCCCAGTGGACAATTCTGCCCCTCGGGTCCGAGTTCGGATCAGTCCCTCTCTGTCTTCATTCCGGTACAGCTTCACTTTACCATTGAACTGTTTCACATAGTCCTCTAGTTTGCCTTTCAGGTGCTCTGGAGAACACAAGGATATGGTTAGTTTGTAGTTGTCACAAAACTTGCTTGTTTTCATCATGTTCATTGAAGGCCGGAAGTTATACTTACACCAATGTGCATAATTATTCTTGGTAGCACTTTGGTGAATATTCAGCCCAATTAAAATGAAAAACATAATGTTATACTACTCGTCACTTAATAAGACCAACACAGGTTACTTCTGATAAATTCTGTTCTGGATACTTTAATCTGATGCCTTGTCTCATGAGATGGTCGGTACAGAGAAAATCTGGACTTGCTTCATTTACTGCTGGAGCATTACACAAAGGGCTGGGTGGAAATGAGATAATATGGTTCAGGGGCTGGTGAGGTAAGGTGAAATTGGGTTTAACGTTGTGCTTGAGAATATTTCGCTCATATGACGATGTGCATGCGTGTGTATGTGTGGCTGCATGTACTAGCCCAGACTGAAGCTAGTTTTATAGTGCTAGCCCACTGAGATACCATGCCGCAGTGAAGCATGAATACCCCACTCTGACACATTATACTGACTCCGAGCCGACCAGTCCTTGTTGTACCCATTAATGCCGAGCGCCAGGCAGGGACCAACAAGTACCGTATTTTAACGTCTTTTGGTATGATGATGGTCGATGATCGAACCCGCGACCTTCCGCTCTCCGGGCGGACACTCTAACCACTACACCACGGAGGCGGTCCTCAGGGACTAGGCGATAGACTAGAGGCAATGAAGATGGCTACAAACCCTTGTCACTGTAATCGTCCACCATGACAACCTCCTTGAGCAGATTAGGCGGGGAGTTGTTGATGACGCTGTGCACAGTGCGGACAAGGGTGGACCAGCCCTCGTTGTGGAACACCAGGATGACGCTGACCGTGGGCAAGTCTGTAGGGTAGTGCCAGTACTTGCACCTGTGCATAGCAAAAACAGGAATGAAGGAATCCACTTCAATCACTGTGATATGATTCTAGTCATTTGAGTTTAAAATCAATGGAAGTTGCAATCAAAAATATATCAGTAATATTGCAAGCTGACCGCAAACTTGAAACCACTATGGAAATATTTGTCTTTGTTGAAATATTTGAACAATTTCAACGCAAACACACAATGGCTTATTGCTTAAGGTTTTGGAACTCAGATGTTGATTCTGATTGGATTCTCAAAATAATCCTGATGTTAAGAAAATGATTTCTTTAATATGAGACATAATCCACATAATCAGATATCAGAAGCAGAGACTTACTCATCCATCCTGGTGTCAGGGATGCTTCTGTCCATAGGAATCTTGTCACTGGCTATCATGTTGAAGCCAAACTCTCGAATAGTCTGGTCGGCTTTGGACTGCTCTTCCATTGTAGTGTATACAGGCTCCCCCATCTCACCTGGCAGAAGAATGGGCAGTGAAGGTTTGTGGACAAGCCAGTGTGTTTAAGTGTGTGTGCATCATAGGGATAGTGTGTTTGTGTGTGTGAACATGTGCATGTATGTGTCAGCGTGTGTTATAATATGGCTTAATGTCGGGTTCAAGATCACTGACCTTATGTGTGTGTGCATGCATGTATGCATGTCTGTTCAAGCAGGAACTAATATTAAATATATATTACAATTACAATCTCTCTCTCTCTCTCTCTCTCTCTCTCTCTCTCTCTCTCTCTCTCTCTCTCTCTCTCTCTCTCTCTCTCTCTCTCTCTCTCTCTCTCTCTCTCTCTCTCTCTCTCTCTCTCTCTCTCTCTCTCACACACACACACACACACACACACACACACACAACATGGCAGACTTGTAAAATATTACTTATAGAGACCATGTCATGACCATGATAACATGCAAATATGCATATGTTAATATCATTTACTTAAAAGATATCTTCCACTTGAAAAATATTTTAAACAACAGATGAACTTTATTGGATCCTTTAAATTTTCACATAACATTTCAGTATCAATTCCCATGGTAACCTGCGAGTGACTGAAGTCTTCCTAAGCCTGACTCACTCATTGTCGGGTGAACAACATCCATCTGATAAACCAATTTGATCATCTACAAAGCAGACCTACATAAGGCAGGTTATCATTCATAGTTCAGTGAACATTCTCTCCCTATCCTGAGGCAATCGTCGTGGAAACCAACATCTCTAAGCACCTACAGCGTGCATATGACAAGGCCTAAAGATCTGGTGTAATGATCTGCCATTAAACAATGTCTGCATGGGTAACTTATCTTAATCTTCACTCACCAGGAGTATTTCTGGCTTCAGGCTCCTTGGGTTCAAAGTTGCCCATAATTCCTTTCTTCATGACAGCAACGGGTCCAAGATTCTTGTGTTCAGAAGGCTCGTTGTCCCCTCCTACTTGGGGTTGGGGGATCACATTGTCTTGATTCAGGTCAGGTACAGCATTGTTACTTTTATGTTGCCGTTTATAGTCCTTCTGGTTCTGAAAAAGGTACAATGAGTGAGTAAGGTTTTATGCCACTTTGACCAACATTACAACAATATCAGGATGAGTGAGTGAGTGAGTGAGTTTTACGCCGCTTTTAGCAATATTCCAGCAATATCAGGGCAACGGACACCAGAAATGGGCTTCACACATTGTACCCATGTGGGCAATCGAACCCAGGTCGTCGGCGTGACAAGCAAACGCTTTAACCACTAGGCTACCCCACCGCCCCTGCATACCTGTGACAAGGATAGTGTCTTTACATCCAGAATAGTGATGTCTTGACAACAGTGATAGTGTCTTGACAATCAGAATATTGTGTTCACAATCAAGATGGTGTCTTGACAATCACAACAGTGTATTATCAACCAGAACAGTGTCTTATCAAACTGTATGAGGTCAACCAGGATTAAGTCTTAGCAATTGATATCTTGTCTTGATAAGTCATCATGAAATATAGGCTTAAAATATTCATTACGCTTTAAGACAATCATTACCATGTTGATATTGCATTTGTATCAAATGTCCATTTTTGGTACAGAGAAATTCCTTATTTCAAGAAAGTACTCTTGTTGTCACAGTTCTAGAGATATGATTAGTAAAACTGCATATTACCTGAAAAATGTTGAGTTGAGTTGAGTTGGGCTTTACGTCACATCGGCAATATTCCAGCCATATAGTGACGAGATCAAGTCAGCATTCATAAACATTTTAAGTACAAAATCCAAATGAGTTGTTTTGTTTTTTAAAATATATTCATTAGGCCAAACCAATTTAATTTCTTGTTTTACGGATCCACCGGTCGTATTTTTTCAAGAATAAGAAAAAATATATATTAATTTTCCCCGCTCAAAAATTAAAATCCTCATGTTTTTATTGGAAAAAAATGTAAACTTACAAATAAAAATATTTTTGATTGGTTTTTTCCCCATAGACACTTCATAAATTGCCAAAAATAAAATACTTTAGTATTCAAAAGGAAAATATCTACGACAGGTGATTTTTATTTTTTATTTTTTCCCTCCTGCCTTTAGGTTTTCTGAGGACAAAAATCCGTAAAACAAGAAATAAAATTGGTCTGGCCTTACATTATTATTTTAAAAACGGAAAATGTCATAGCACTAAATTCAAAAGCAAGCAATTTGTTATTCACATTACAATTTATGATACAGCTTAACTTCCCTCAGGTAGCTCACAATAAGATGCCAGCTCACGCGGGAAAACAGATCTTTCAGATTTGTCGCATCATAATGCGAGTCCCTTGCCCGTGTTTATTTATATAATTACCAAATGAACTTTAGTAGGCATCTGATTCGAACTGTCAGTGCTCTCTGCTTCTATAATCTTCAAAGTATGACACAGTATATCATGCATTTATCAGGATTACGAATGATAAAATCCATATGTTGATATGTTTTAGAACAATTTTTTGAAAATAAAGGTGCTATTTTAAGTCAGCTAACAGCGAACCTGTAAATGCTGGGACAGGTGTGCACTGCGCAGCATTGATCCCCAACCCAGTGTGTTAACATACAGCAGATGTGTGTACATAAGTAACAGCTGGGTTAAACTCTAGCACTGTGACACTCAGCATGACGAACACAGACATATAGGGTTTAACACCCTTTTTATGACAGTACTAATGTCATTTTTGATTAATGTGATAACTGGCCAGTCGGTGTCTTGTATACAAGGGAAGTCAGTTAACTGGCCTGAACTAATCTCACGTCATAATGTCTTCAGTAACCCATGCTTGTCGTAAGAGGCGACTAACAGGGATCGGGTGGTCAGGCTCATTGATTTAACTGATTCATGTCATCCAGGAACGAAATACAAATTGTTTCATCCAGTTATCGAAATGCATTTTGTTATAGGTCCCATAGGGTACCAGACAGATAATTTATGTGTGCCTTTGTGAAAATAAGTGTGCCCATACCTTTTGATGATCCAGTCAAACTTAACAACATCGCAACAATTATGTCATTTCAATTTGTTAATAATAATAAGTCAATAAACATCATGTAATCCTGTAGACTACTCTGTCTAACAGTCCCTAAATACATATTACTATTAGTTCCCTTCTGCTCAGCCCTTTCTGCCAAACGAAAGCTCTTAATGTAGCAAGTCTAGATTTCTTCAGGTTCTGAATCTCCCATCTCACTGGGGCTCCTTATCAAAATGATATACATTCCAAGACTAAGCGTTAGTCTAACCTGTAAACTTGAGAGCTGGATTTCCTGAGCCCTATCATGACTGCAAGGATAGTTCTGCTTCAAATGTCCCAGACCCATAAGCTAACCCACATACTAGGTTATCATCCAAAATAGCTTCCCTGTTATGCTCACTGGCATTCAATATTCAGCACAATTTTGATCCCTGTTATCGTATTCCAATTGTGTAGATCGATGCTCATGATGTCAATCACTGGACTGTCAGTTCCAGACTCCATTATTTACAGACTGCCATCATAAAGCAGCAATATTGCTGAGTATGGACAAAACAGACAATAATTACAAACATAATACACCATAACTGACTTTGTTTTCCCTTCTGAAATTCTTATGGTGGTAAAAGTTAGTTTTTACTCACAAATATTTCACTAAAAATAAATCTTGTCAACTCGTAATTTGTAATGGTAAATTTGTAGCATTTTATTCACCAGGTATGCAAGATTAAACAAGCAGAAGGTTGATAGACCTTTGGATCTGATTTACAAGCCCATTCATAAGAATCTGCTTGAAAAACGTTATCTGTACACCCCATTAGTGATTAATGACCCACTCAAGAGCATGTGGTCACCTGATTTCATTATGCTTGATAATAATGCTGAAGGATTCATTGTCGGCACAGGTACAGAAACGTACCCTAGCCAAAATCAGAATACAGAAATGTACCCAAGGACGAGTCCATCCCTCATAGTGTGTTTTTCTTGATCGGAACTGGCACTGTTGTATTACAGCATACATAGTAATGAATATTTCGCGATGCACATTACCACTCGCAATAACTTGAGCAGAAACAACTACATTTGGCTTCATTTAGGGGGTTGTAGAATTATAGATTCATCCAACATTTAGGGTACTGGGCACATTCCTATATTTTGACTTTGTTCAGGGTACATTTTTGTATACATATATGTACCTGGGGTACATGTCTGTAGTACCTGTACAGACAACGACCACTTCAGCAATAATCATGATAATTCTGTACATGTATGATGGTCAGAGCATAAACTTTGATGAGATCAGCTCCCTATCACCCAGTGCACAAAAAGTTTCCAAAATTGCTGGCCAGTCAGGCTAGCTATTCCTGAAAGTTACTAGCCCCAAAATAATTCACTAGCCTGAAATTTGAATGTAGACATGGGTTTCATCATTAAGCTGCTAATATGATTTATCAGGCCATAACCTTGCCTGATTTAAAAGTGTATTAACTTAAGAAGTCAGAGAGAATGATATATTTACAAAATGATCCCATGAAAATTAACCAGCCAGTCGGGCCAGTGACTGTGGAGATTTACTGGCCCCGACTGAATTTTTACTAGCCACAGGCTAGCAGGCCAGTGTCTATTTCACACACTGATCCCCATAATGACAACAATCAGTAAGTCACTTAAACAGCCAATCACCTTATCATCATAGTGTTCTGTATTGTCAGATTGATGAAGTTGAGTTGGGTTTTACATCGCTTTTAGCAATATTCCAGCAATATCACAGCAGGGGAAACTGGAAATGGGCTTCACACCATTGTACCAATGTGTGGAATCAAACCCAGGCCTTCAGCGCGACAAGCGAACGCTTCAACCACTGGGCTACCCCACCAACCAGCATCTGGAGCCAACACAAGCTGTTCTCCATTCAGTTGCTGCATCTGTACCACCATTCAGATCTACACAGTGCATTCAGCTCCAGGTCAATACCACTCAAAGCAGCCAGTCCCAGTACAATCATCTACTGTAATCTGATAGCACTGTACACAATGTCTCAATACAATAATGCTCAAGTAACATGGTGAATGTATTGATATTCATCCAAAAAGATCGGAAACAGATTTTCTGCTATATTATTTCCATATATGCTAAACCAACGAGTTCATTACATAGCAAGTTGGAATACATCTGGTTCATGGTGCATATAAACTGAAGGATAACAGTATTTGATCTTAAATCCAACATCTTACCACAGGCATATGACGCACTGACATATCTAGATCTGATCAGAAGTAACAAACTAACAAACTGTAACTTAAAAATGTCCCATTATGAGCAATTATTGAGATAATGAATGTTATAGATTTCTTTTAGTTCACTCATATACTCAAGAAAAGGATTAGGTACACGTTATCCCAACTTAGATCACACTCTTCCATAGAGAGTGAGTGACTGTGTTTAGTTTTACTTCGCTTTTAGCAAAATTCTAGCAATATCACAGTGGGGGACACCAGAAAAGGGGCTTCACACACTGTACCCACATGGGGAATCAAACCGGATCTTTAGTGTGGTGATCAAACACTTTAACCACTAGGCTACCCTACGGTCTCACATTCTTCCATAGATTTACAGATATGATAATGGTAATGTTATACATTTAATGACAGAAGGAAAGAAACAAAATACAAAGAAAAGAAATGAAATACAGATATACATGTACATAAACAGAGCTCACTATAACTTTTGATTTATGTATATATATATATATATACTGAGGGAAACAAATAAGGGAACACCATTTCATGGCAGTGTTCATTTATTTATTTCTCAGATTTCCTCCCACAGCGCTATTCAAAGCTGGTGATGAAAAATGGAAAATATTAAAGGAACGCTTGAATTTTCCTATGTTCCTTTATTTGTTTCTCTCAGTATATATTGGGAAATTCCCAAAATGTTTTTGACGACATGATTGGGTAAAATTGCATGATCCATTTTTAAAGGAAGAGATCAAGAGAATTATGAAACAATGCATCTTAAAGAAACTACAACACTCATATGTGTGTACATACCGATATTACAAAACTCGCATAAGATTTCATGTATTACCCTCAACCACTCTCACAAAGAAAGTACAATAATTCTGACATTTGTTTCATAAAAATAGCATGACACAGAGACTCGAATAATTATCTTTTACCCAATGACCATACAGCATATACAAGGAAACCAACTTGCCACGCCTACAAGGCTAAAACAACACAGGTACCACCTGCTTTGATCAGAAGAGGATGTAACATGTACGCGAGATGGGGATCACATGCTCAAGTGGCTATCAGAGAGACGGTCACTTTTTCACAGGATTGCCTGTCCAAGGGAAACAGATTTCTTAACAAAGCATAACAAAGTGTCTGCAAGTGTTACTTATTAAAATAATTAAAGAAAATTCAGTACAGTTATTGATAGTGATGTTTATAGACAGGGAGTAATATGAACCTGTGGCTAGTATGTGGTTCAACATGTTTAAAGTATTGTCATGGTTAATCATGCTGATGTCATTCAAACATCAACTGGTAAATTCAACAGTTCAAACACAAAAAACATAGTTCCACCTCCAATACAATGTTTGGAAATTTTGTATTTAGCAATTCAATGCTGAATCTTCTGTCCTTCAGACCTGTTTAAACCAAGATGGCAAATTGTTGCCAGTTTCTACTGAATACTATTAAAAGAAAGTGATCATGATGATGAATTATGATCCAATAGTACACATGAATGTTTCCTAAAATATGTATTAAACAAGAGTCATCGGAAGATGACAAATCCCCCGTACCCACAAATTTGTAAGAACAATTTACCTAACAGTTACTCAAAGTCCAACTTGATATTTTTTAGTGAGTGAGTGAGTTTAGTTTTACGCTGCTTTTAGCAATATTCGGCAATATCACGCAGGGTGATATTTTTTAGACTAATTCCATATCGTTTCTATCGAAATCATGAAAAATATAAATGCCAAAAATCTGCATAGTAGCAAAAGGCACCACTTCAAGATCTGTTTGATATATCTGCCAAGTTTTGGAAACGAAGCCCATCCCTCCGTTTTGAGACTGAATAAAAAATGTTTCCATGGAAAATAAAAAGAAAAATGACAAAAATTCGCAAACAGCAAAAGGCACCACTTCAGGATCTGTTTGAAATATCCTCTAAGTTTTGTTGCAAGATATTGAATGGTTTTCAAGTTGTGCTCTGGAAACAAAGCCCACCCCTCCCTTTTGAAACTAAGTCCCAATAATTTCCATGGAAATCGAAAAATCTGCAAATAGCAAAAGGCACCACTTTGGGATCTGTCTCATATATTTGCCAAGTTTTGTTGATAGATATTGAGTGGTTTTTGTGGTATGCTCCAGTAACGAAATCCACCCCTACTTGAGATTAAGTCCAAATTGTTTCCATGGAAATCGAGAAAATAAAATGCCAAAAATCTGTAAACATAAAAATGTACACTAGATAATTTTATTCAGATAATTCTCATAGTGTCATTTTTTGTCAGGTACAAAACATAAGAAACAATTCTTTAACCTTATAAATTATGGATCTATTTTCAGTTGATAATGTTATAACAAATGTATAAAATGAGCCTTCTTGTAATGTAAATGTTCCCTCTAAACATAGCATGCAAGCCATAATTGTCAACAGTTACATTGTATGCAATATGGACCTCTGTCTGTCTGTCTGTGTCTCTCTGTCTGTCTGGCTGTCTGGTTGATGAACGAGGAATGTTCTATGCTTCGTTATTATTAATGTAACTTTCCCCGATTGTTCATCACACCAACTTCCAAATGCCACTCAACAAAGTTATCAGTCATTTTCATGGCAGTTACTCTCCAACCTAATGAAGAAGTTTATCCAGCCATCCAACCATCCTCACCTTCCTTAGGATGCCCAAATTTTAATCAGCTAACTATGATGAGGACAGCAGTGAATTTTTTTCTGCATCCATTCTCTACGTTTGTGGCGCAGGTTTGCATGTCGCATAAAACGCTGTACTCATCTCATCGTCTTAAACAACACAGTCAAGTTGAAATCAGTGACACTCACCATTTCATTCACGAATGTGTCCTGTCTCTTGGCCACTCCCCTGTTGTCATCAAACAGATGGAAGAGGTACGGCCCAATCAGCAGCAGGGCGGTGACAGCTAGCCCCAGCTTCAGGAGCAGCTTCCTCCGACAGTACACCCTCATCGGGAAACTCTTATCTTCAGCCCCAGCTGGATCTCCACTACCAAAACGGTGCGAAGGGTGGCCTCTTTTACTTGCCCTGAAAATAATGTTTCAGTCTTGTATAACGTTTACTGTGTGAAAAAATACCACAGTAATAGAGTTGATCTGTAAATACAGATACATGATTGAGATTGGGAACAGAATTGGGAAGTTCAACCACATTCCTGCCACTGTAACCTGTAGCTAAAGATGTTTCACACGTAGAGAAACTTCATTGTTCAACATTAATGTTAAACTGTTACATATGGTGTATACATTTTGTAGCTTGTTTGTTGTTTAACGCCGCACTCAGCAATATTCCAGCTATAAGGCCGCAGTCTGTAAATAATTGAGTCTGGACCAGACAATCCAGTGATCAACATCATGAGTAGACTAACGCTAAGTCCCTGAATATATATATTTTTGATAGTAACAAAGACAAACCGATTAAAATTGTAAAGGACCCCAGTGAGTTGGGAGATCTAGACATGCTTCATTTAGGGCTCTAGCATTGCAGGGCAGGCTAGGCAGTAGGGAAAATGATGTGGTTCAGGGACTGTGAGACAGACTACATCATGAACATCTATCTACACAATTGGGATACATGTATACATACCTATACCAACTAACAAAGCCAACTAGTAAAATAATCAAGGAAACAGAGTATGAATGTGTGACAGTTACCATGGTTATAGAGGCAAAAGACAACAGTAATGCTACGTTACCATGTTTGCTATATGTACATGATGTACATGTACTAGTGACCACATCTTGGCAATATCACATCAAATTTGAACCTAAATAAACCTGAATATCAAACAACACTGAATAACCATGACACCATGAACATATTGCGTGTATTAATTACATGTTTAACTTACATGATTAAACTGAATATTTCTGTGATAAGTATACAGTGTTCATTCTAGGCCTCTCCTTTACGCCATTCGTGCACTAATATTTAACATGGCACACTGTACAGATACGTGTCAGCGCATCCATAAATGTAAATCTGATACGCATCACGAGTTTGTTTTCGCTTGGCAACTCAAGCAAAACTTAAGCAATTTGACATGACCCACAATATTTTCTAAATGACCCACACCAGGAGGACTGGTGGGTCATGGGCTCACTTTTTAGAAATGCTTGATTGAAAACTGACTATATAATCATGATGACAGCTTTTAATTTTATAACTAAACTGTCACTTTAACTTAAGTAAAATTTTGAAGAACTTACCACATTTACAGCACTGTAGTACAGCAGGATACACAAATATACGTATATATATGACATTAAATACCTTGTAGTTTCACATGTATCCCTCATGTAAGTTAGTTCTATGCCTCAGTTATGTTAGTTACAATATAGATGATTTATGGTTAGCATTTTAAACTAGAGCAATGTGAGGGAAAAAAATCCATGAAGGAAATACCAAATCGGGTTGGGTTAACTCAGTCACCAAGGTCACGATTATTGATTAGTTAAAAGTAAGCATGATAAATCCTTACATGATAATTATTGATCATGTATAAAACTAGTAGGTATGAAATTTTGGTTGGTTGGTTTGTTGTTTAACGCTGCACTCAGCAATATTCCATCTATATGGTTGTGGTCTGTAAGTAATCAAGTCTGGACCAGACAATCCAGTGATCAACAGCATGAACATCGATATATGCATTTGGGATACGATGACATGTGTCAACCAAGTCAGCAAGGTCTGACCACCCAATCCTGTTAGTCGCCTTTTATGACATTGACAAGTATGGGTTGCTGAAGATCAATTCTCACCCAGATCTTCATGGTGTCAATATTTATGACTGGTTGGTTGGTTGGTTGTTTAACGCTGCACTCAGCAATATTCCAGCTATATGGCGGCTGTCTGAATATAATCGAGTTTGGACCAGACAATCCAGTGATCAAAATCATGATCACCGATTTATGCAATTGGGATACAATGACACAGGTAAATGTCAATCAAGTCAGTGAGCCTGACCACCCGATCACGTTAGTCACGTTGTACAGCCCTCATAGCATTTTTCGGAACAAGAGCTGGGTTTCAAATACCACAGTATACTAATAAGCTAATTCCCTCTAATTTCCAACACCGATACCTATACACGAACTGCAGAGCAAACTGACTGACAGACTAATAGTAATAAGATTATGAACTTGGACGAGGGTTGACAGACACAGCTCAAGGAAAACACTGGTGGTAACACGGTCAATCCCAAACATGTGCACATACACTATGTGCATTCAGCATGTCACACAAGGTAACAGATCAATAGCATATCACAATGAAAGCATAGCACTTGACAGTGTTCAAATAGAAGGATGGTAATCAAGGCATCCTAACAATGGCCCCAATAATAAAAGTGAGTGAGTGAGTTTGGTTTTATGCCGCTTTTAACAATATTCCAGCAATATCACGACCGGGATGCCAGAAATGGGCTTCACACATTGCACCCATGTGGGGAATTGAACCCGAGTCCTCAGCGTGATAGTGAACTCTTTAACCACTAGGCTACCCCACCGCCCCACTACTAAAAGTAAAACATTTAGAGGTCCATAGATTCAAATAGTGTGTCAAGGACTCAAACGTCCTACTTAATTTTGAACACTGTACAATTCATATCTACCATTATCAGATTACGTCCTGCAAACACAGTGATTATACGTTATTACTGGTACAGAAATATTGTTTTTTATGCTTAACTCTTTCAACACCAGTCAACCAGAGGCATTAACTGCCATGACACCGAGTTCCCAGAGACTCTGAGGTCATAGATGAAGCCTATGTTTATGAAGGAAATTATAAGCTTGTAAAACGTTATTGCTACTACATCCCATACACCATTTAAAAGATCTAATCCTACTGTTGATAAATATGAAGTTTATTTTTATAATATTATTCAAATAATACAACTACAACTTAAATAAAATTAATTTTTAATGAAAACGCAAGCTTACGTTTATAACGTCCAGATAAACCAATGAAAAAGAAGCAAAAACTATGGCGATTTTTTCCATTTGTGACATGTCATAACATGCCCGTGCCTTTTCTTTTCTATTTTCATTTTAACGTAATCAGAAAACTATTATAAAATATTTCTTAAATAATATGTATGGTAAGCCTATTTCCCGATATCTGTGGCTTTCCGCCGTAACATGACATAACAACGGAAAATACCTCCGTTTTGAAGCGTCATTATGAATAACATGGGAGGCTTAATCGTCTGATGTCGGGTATCGTTCGAAAGCTCTGAACATCAACAATATCACTGTACCCTTGCCAAGAGTATTTTCACAGTTGTAAGAAGCGATTTTATTGGATAAAATTGGTTTCTAATGACCGCTTTTAAGCTACAGTCTGCTATAAGAAGTCGTGATTGGTCAAAATCAGACACGTGACCTAAGGGCAGCCAATCATATTACGGCAATGGATGACGTCCTCATAAACGAAAACTTTTAGATTTAGACGAAAGTTTTGGGTAAAATAATGCTATTTTAAACATATTAAGCAAGAAATCGCTACCTATACGTAAATTATGGAACTTATTTGACGTATCGTGGTAGGTTATGACCTGTGACAAAAATGCTTCATGTATATATTTTCGCATTAAACATCGTGTCCGAGCATGAAGATTGAGGCGGCGAGAGCCGGGATGTCACTTGTCAGTGACTTGGACTTACATTACATGATCGCACAAAAAGATGGAAATAATAATTTTATATGTACGTTTGACAACTTTTATGAATGTTGTTGTTGATTTTATTCATTAGTTTATTCAATTTATTTAATGAATTCCTCGAAACATCGTTACTTTGCTCTTTGACAATGTTATTGTGGACCCGCTGCCGAAGCATGTGTCCGAGAATCGTTGTTTTCAAGAACATTGCGAAAAATAGTTTATAATTTTAATTCTGCTGATAATATATGATAAATTTAAATTTAATAAGTGTTTTCAGACATTGTGAAATGTGATAGATTTAATATATGAATCATAAGTCCGGGTAGGTTCCTAAAATTATGTCTGATTTTGACGTGACTACTGCCTGGCCGCTTAAGCGGCCTCCGGTGTCTGGGGACTCATAACGTTGTGGCCGCTTAAGCGGCCTGCGGTGTTGAAAGGGTTAAACTAGCATGCTAAGCCTTGTCAGCACAGATCCAAGAGCTACTTGATGTCAATTTGACATCATTATGTCATGCAGTACCATGCTGAAGTTATTCTCTTGCACAAACATCTACACACGATGCCAAAGAGGAACATTGGAACATAGGGTTAAAACTCACATAATTTCACGGGACATGATTGGATTACCCAGTCATCTAACTTCTCTAAAAGCACCAGGGCCCACTTACACAAAATGATCTTAGCGCTACGACCATCTCAAGGCAACGTTAGAGTACGGGTGTTTGATCATCATAGGGCTAAGATCGCTCTGCGCAAGCGGGCCCATAATTCACAGCCAGGCATGCTTTGTTTAACAAAGCTCAACATGTTTAAGCACCTGAAGGTTGTGGGTTTAAATCAGAGATTTGCTTATTTTCTATTCTGGGTGTTAGTCATCACTATTCCATTGCCTGATCATGCTGATAGTTTCAGCCAAGTGGTGATCAGTTCATGGCAGGGTTCGAAAATATATATTAGTGTGCCATGGAACAGTAAATATTGAAATGGCACGGCTGAAAACTATTCTCGGTGCCCTTTTGTCACGCCTAATGTTTTAGAGACATAACTCACATTTAGTCATTTAATCCCCAAAACAATTATACCATACATATTTGAATGCTCATAAACCCATTTCTTTATTTAACAATAAATTTCAAATGATCATCATCAATGTCATTTATTCTAAAAACGTGTGGGCATACTTGGTTTCTGAAGGCACACCTAAAATATTTGTCTGGTGCCCTAAGGCACACTTAGAAAAAAAGTATTTCTATCCCTGGTTCAGGGTGTCGTTCCACTAACCGATCTTATCTGAGATCAGTCTTAGCAAGTTACGCCAATTTTACAATTTTCGCTCTTCTTCTTCACATAGAATATGAAA